AGGGGATGATAGGAGGGGTAATCAAAAATATTTTATTAATATTATTTAATTGATAATTTATTAAAAGGGGCTTTTTTTTTCGGGGAGGGGGAGAGGAGAAAGAGAGATTTTAATAATTTTACTTTGATATATACACATAAATATATTTATTAATAATTAATTAATTATGAAAATAATAAAATTTCGTCGGATTGAAAAATAATAATTAAATTTCATAATAATTTATGTCAAGGGTTGATTTTTTTTAACTTTGTGACGTCATAATTTAATTTTTTCTAAAAAAAAAAAAAAAAATTTTGACTTGATGGGATTTTAATTATTTTTTTTTTTTTTGGAAAAAAACTTGTTGTTTGTTTTGTTTCGTTCAGGGGGGGGGAGGGGGGGTTTATTTTAAATTTTTAATTTATAAATTTGTATTTATATTTAAATTTTTCGTTTGTTCTTCATATTTTGTATGTAAAAACCGTTAACTCGTACGTACGCATGAGCCGTAAACATTATATAGAGAGAGAGAAAGGAAAAAAAATTAGTCTCTATCTGTTGCACAATAAAAAGGAACAGTGTGCTTTTAAATGAGCTTTTGAACGTTTCGAAATATTTTTTTTCATTTTATTTATTTTTTAATTTTTTTTTTTTTTTTTTTAAAAAAAAAATCCGGTCCGGTGGTGTGATTGTTACAGTTCTTTATTTTCTAAATATTATTATTATTATTATTGCTACGTTTCCGTTTCCGAATAATAAAAAAATTTATTTATTTATTTAATTAATGATTTAAAATCGTGAATTTTATTCGGATTTTATTTATTAATACTTCACGTCATCGAGTGATTTACTATTATTATTATTATTTTTTAATAACATTTAACGCGAGTTTATTATTATTATTATTTTTAAAAAAAATTCTTTTTACGCGTTTGAAAAGGTAAGATAAAAAAAAATGAAAAAAATTTTAACATTTTTCCTAAAAAAAAAAAAGTTTTTCTTCCCCTATCGTTTTTAATAATTATTATTATTATTATTATTATTATTATTATTATTATTATTATTATTATTATTATTATTATTATTATTATTATTATTATTATTATTATTATTATTATTATTATTGTAATTACTATTCATACTCTTATAAATATTAATAAGTTATTAAATTAAATTATTTTTCGCGGTAAAATTTTGCACGCGGGATAAAAAGGAAGAAATAAAAATAAAAATAAATAAATAAATAAATTTTATTACGGTTTAAAATATGGAAAATGCAAATTATTATTATTATTATTATTATTATTATTATTATTATTATTATTATTATTATTATTCAAAATCATCGCGAAATAATTATTTATTAATTTAAATTTAAATTTAAATAAATAAATAAATAAATAAATAAATAGTAGTTTGTAAATTTATATCATTTGTAATAAAAAAAACTCATGAAATAATATACGATGATGATAATAATAATAATATGGTTAAAATTGTGCACGGGGGTGACGACATTTTTATATTCGTACGTAAAATTTAGTGATCGTATGAGATTAAGCGCGATTATATGTGGGAGGAGGAGGGGAGGGAAGGGGGAAAGGGAAAATCATTAAAACTAGAGATTAACGTAAAAATTTTCAAACGAGATAAATATATATATATATATCCGGGTTTTTAAATTTAATATTATTAAATGATTATTATCATTATGTGTGTGTTTTTTTTTGTATTTGATAAGGGATATCACGAAAATATTTAATTTAATTATCTACGTAATTAAGTATTTTTATAAAAAACGATATTATGTTTATGTTGATGTTGTTCAGTACACGTCAACGGCCATACCATGCTGAACACACCGGTTCTCGTCCGATCACCGAAGTTAAGCAGCATCGGGCGTGGTTAGTACTTGGATGGGTGACCGCTTGGGAACACCACGTGCCGTTGGCTCCACACAAATTTTTTTTTTTTTTTTTTTTCAATCATCGATCAATATATTATTTTTATTGATTTTTTTTTTAATCGATAGTAGTATTATCATTATACGAAAAAGAAAATTATTAATTTTTTTTTTTTCCACAGGTATATATCGTGCTCGAGTTATTATCAACGTTAACCTAATGTTATAAAAAAAGGAAGAAGAAGATTTTCATGAAAAAGGAGGGAGGGAAAAAGGGGAAGAAAAAATAAAGGAAACGGATATTAAATAAATGACGAAGAATTTTTAAATTAAAGTAAGTATTATTACACTTATTAAATATATATATATATACGTTCGCGTTAATTTATAAAAAATTTCTTTTTTTTTTTTTTTTTTGGATTTCGATTCGAGCTTTTTTAAATTATAAATTTATTGTTCTCTCTCTCTCTCTCTTCGTTTTTTTTTTCAAAAGAGAATTTTAAAATGCGTATGTGAGAGAGAGAGAGAGAGGGAAAAAGATTTGAAAATTTAATGCGTTACGATTTGAAAAAGAATGAAAATTTTTTTTGATTCGAAAAATCAAATTATTTATTTATTTATTTAAAATTTTCAAATCGTTATATATTTATTATTATTATTATTATCATTACCGAAAGGTACATTTTTTTTTTTTTTATTGTAAAAAAAAAATGTTCGAGTTCTCGCACCTTCGGCAAAAAAAAAAAAAAAAAAAAAAAAAATTTTTTTTAAATGGGTAATATTTTTATTGACGGCATTCAATTAAGTTTAATTGACGGAAAAAATTTTTTTTTTTATTAAAAAAAAAAATGATTTTCAAAATGGCAGGAAAGGGATGTGGGAAAAGGGTGTGTGTGTGTGTGTAGTGCGTGGGTGTGAAAAAAAAAAAAAAATTCAATTTTTATTCTTTTTTTACAATCGAAATTATTTGAAATGTTTTTTCGTTTTGTTTTGTTTTATTGTCCTGTCAAACTTTTTACAAAAGAAAGAAAGAAAAATTGAAAAGAAATAAAAACAAGATTGATGCAAGTTAGAGAGAGAGAGAGAGAGAGGAAAAAAAATGGATTCCAGTAAAAATTGATTTAAAAAAAAAAAATCTACAGGTGTGAGTAATGACGTTTGGCAAATTGATAATAATAATAAATTATTATTATTATTATTATTATTATTATAACGTTAATGATAATGAATAATTTAAAATT